CCACGCACGGATTTGGCGCCGTGCTGCTGCAAGAGAACCACCCCATCGCCTACTTCAGCAGGCCGGTGGCGCCTCGACATCGCTCCCTCGCAGCATATGAACGCGAGCTCATCGGCTGGTGCGCCAGACGCCATTTGGCGGCCGTGCACACAATAGGCGCCGGTTTACAGTCCGCACGGATCATTACAGTTTGAAGTTCCTCCTCGATCAGCGGCTTGCGACCATCCCCCAACATCTTTGGGTGCGGGCAAGTTGTTGGGCTTTGACTTCGGCGTCGAGTACAAACCGGGCGCCCTGTAACGCGATGGCCGGCGCTTTGTCTCGCGCGCGACACGCCGGAGGGCACGGTGCTCGCCATATCCGCATTCGCCGACTACATCGGCCATTGCCGCGCCAGAGCGAGCCATCCACCGGCGGTTGTGGCCCTGAAGGAGGAGGTCCTCGCCGGCTCGCGCTCTGCTCCTCAGGCCATTGCGGCGGCTGCTCACATACGATGGCGGCGTCTACGTTCGCCGTCGCGCGCCATTTGCCGAGAGAGTTGCTGGCGCGATCCATGAGGGCGGCCACGAAAAGTATGGCGCACCTTCATCGTCTTCGCCGGGACGTCCACTTTTCCGACATGCGCCGCGTGGTGCAGGACTTTGTGCGGGCGTGCTCCACTTGCCAGCGCAACAAGTCTGAGCATCTCTGCCATTGGTTCTTTGCCGCCTCTGCCGATCCCAACAACGGTGTGGGCGGACATCGGTCTTGATTTCATAGAAGCTCTCCCGAAGGTTCGAGGCAAATCCGTCATCTTGACGGTGGTGGACCGTTTCAGCAAGTATGCGCACTTCATCCCATTGGCGCACCCATACTCCGCTGAAACTGTGGCACAGGCTTTCTTCTCCGACATTGTGCGCCTTCATGGCATGCCACAGTCCATCGTCTCGGACCGCGATGTGGTGTTCACTTCGACATTTTGGCAAGAATTGATGAGGCTCATGGGCGCCAAGCTGCATATGACGTCGGCTTTCCATCCCCAGTCTGATGGTCAGGCCGAGGCAGCCAACAAGGTGATCACCATGTACCTTCGTTGCATCACCGGCGATCGCCCACGGGACTGGCTCAGGTGGCTGCCTTGGGCGGAGTACATGTACAACACGGCGTACCAGTCCTCGCTCCGTGACACCCCGTTCAGGGTGGTGTATGGCCGGCACCCTCCATCCATCCGTTCTTATGAAGAGGGTGACACCCGGGTGGCAGCTGTGGCCAAGACAATGGCTGAGCGCGAGGCCTTTCTGGAGGATGTACGCCATCGCTTGGAGCAAGCTCAGGCCATCCAGAAGCGGTTCTACGACAACAAACACCGTGCAGTGGCCTATGACGTCGGGGACTGGGTTCTGCTGCGCCTCCGCAACCGGCCAGTAGCTTCTATGTCCTTGGCGCCAAAGGGGAAGATGCAGCCCAGGTTCTTTGGGCCCTATCAGGTCACTGAGGTCATCAACGAAGCGGCTGTTCGTCTGGCCCTCCCACCCCAAGCCAAGATACATGATGTGTTCCATGTGGGGCTCCTGAAGAAATGGGTGGGCACGCCTCCAACCTCCACTCCAGCGCTGCCTGAGCTGCTGCATGGTGCAGTAGTGCCCGAACCAGAGCGCGTGGTACGCTCTCGCCTCGCCCGGGGCATCAAACAAGTGCTGGTGCGCTGGAAGGGACAGCCGGCGTCTGCTGCTACATGGGAAGATTGGGAGGAGTTCACAGCCAAGCATCCCTCATTCCAGCTCGAGGACGAGCTGCAAGTCGAGGGGGGGAGAGATGTCATGTGGGGCCTCCCCTATACACGCCGTAGACGCGCGAGGGACCAGAGGCGCGCAGCTGAGCGCGCGGCTATCAGGGCCACGCCCGATCTTCTGGAGGAAGGAAAGGGAAATAGTGGCTAAGATAGGAAATAGAATTAGTTGGGATATTAGAGGAGATCCTTAATTATAGGAGATAGTTTCCTTCTGTTTTGCAAAACAGGCTATTAAGCCTTGTATCCGGCTGTAGCCGAGGAATCAATCAAGAATTCTACCGTGAACTCTCTCTCCTCTCCCTACCGCACTCAAGCCTTCGGAAGAGGGGCAAAACCTCACCGGAGAAGACGGACCAAGGCTACGATCTACGTAGCCGAGGGCCTCCTACCCTCGATACTCAGGCCCTTGACAGATTCCTCAACATATTAAAGTCTATTATATGGAAGTAAGCCTTTCCTTACCTGTATGGATGTATTTTATTACGACGCTCTCTCTCTAAGTTTTGAAGTATGCAGTTTATGGAACTTAATGTGGAATAGCATCAAGACTTTTTTTCTCGAACATGCAGGAGAGCCGCACATCTTTACATTGTAGAGAGAAGAAATAACGGTCCCTTACAAACAACCTTCCCATCTCAACTATGAGACAAGGAAGGGTTGTTGTACATCACGAGTTAAAACATCCTGAAACAGAAATGAAAAAATTACCCGACCTCTGACCTGGACTAATTAAACTAGTCCTGTAGCCTGACCTAAGCCCAACTCTAGAAGATTTCGGGCTCCAGCCAAGCACCAGATTCTCATCTCCTCCTGGAAGTAGTACTGAACATCGGTGAGAGAAGGAGAGGCGCCATTAGAGACACACTTGTTCCTTCGAATCCACAGAATCCAAGCACCCAAAATCACAGCACTATTAAACCCCTTTCTTTTGTCCTTATCAATCCTTCAATTTGCCTTATCAATCCTTTGAATAGCATCAAAACTTAATCTTGCAGTTACAGATAGGCTGGGCTAAGGTCACTGCGACAGGTCTGACAGTACCTTTTGTGCTTCTAATAACTTTGAAAAAAATGAGACTTCTAGTCTCTATGAAACTGAAAGATATTTGATAGCATGCAGTATTTTAATACCTGCTTCAAAAAGCTTCGTAAACCTCCTCGTCGAACTGCTTAATTGGGCTCACACTTGGGTGCTCTTCTGCAGAAAATGTGGCTTTCTGGCTTTTCCAGAGGAATTCAGGAGATGCACAGGAAAGCTTCTTTGGTTCTTGAAGATGCCGTGAGAAATATCTATACTGTGGTGGCATTTTGTGCTGGTAACAAAATAATGGAACTTTATAGATTGCAGCTTGGTAATATTCTCAAGAAAAGCTTTATTCATGGGATGGGCATTGGTTTTGCCTTTGGCTTCTCTCAGTTCCTTCTTTTCGCATGCAATGCACTTCTGTTGTGGTATACAGCCGCTGCTGTGAAGGATGGACATCTCAGTCTCGTAACCGCTGTCAAGGAGTACATTGTCTTCTCTTTTGCGACTTTCGCACTGGTGGAACCATTTGGCCTTGCCCCTTATATACTGAAACGCCGGAAATCCCTGACCTCAGTATTTGAAATTATTGATCGCGTACCCAAGATTGATCCAGATGATGCCAGCGGCCTGAAGCCCCCTAACGTGTATGGGAGCATTGAATTCAGGAGTGTTGATTTTTGCTACCCTACACGCCCTGAGATGATGGTTTTGAATAATTTTAGCCTCAGAATGAATGGAGGACAAACTGTTGCTGTAGTAGGTGTATCAGGATCCGGGAAGAGCACGATAATTTCTTTGATCGAGAGGTTCTATGATCCAACTGCTGGGCAAGTTTTGTTGGATGGCCGTGATTTGAAGTTGTTCAACTTGAGATGGCTGCGGAGCCACATGGGGTTGGTTCCTCAGGATCCTGTTATATTTTCAACAACCATAAGAGAGAACATAATATACGCAAGGCACAATGCAACTGAATCTGAGATGAAAGAAGCTGCCAGGATCGCGAATGCCCATCACTTCATCAGTAGCCTGCCTCATGGTTATGATACACATGTGGGAATGCGCGGGGTGGATTTGACTCCTGGGCAGAAGCAGCGCATTGCCATTGCTCGTGTGGTGTTAAAGAATGCTCCCATTTTGCTGTTTGACGAAGCCAGCTCCGCTATCGAATCTGAGTCGAGTAGGGTGGTCCAGGAAGCCCTTGACACATTGATCATGGGGAACAAAACAACGATTCTGATCGCACACAGGGCAGCGATGATGAAGCATGTGGATAGCATCGTTGTGTTAAATGGTGGTAGGATTGTCGAGCAGGGAAGTCATGATTCGTTGGTGCAGTTGAGTGGTTTGTATGTGAAGTTGATGCAGCCTCATTTTAGCAAAGGGTTCCGCCAGCGTAGACTAATATAGCGGGTCTGGTAGTAGATGGTGTACATTAGCCTGCCCGTGGAGCTAAGCTAATCAGCTCTGCTTGACTGACCAGATGTCCTATGGCCTATTTTTTTTTTTTGGTAATCACTAATTCTTCTTTCTTTCTTTCTTTCTTTTTTGTTTTGTATTTGATGATCATGAGCCTGTGAGGGTGTTAGGTTGGGTGTAGTTTTGATTAGTTTATTTTCTTTTGCGGGAGTCTTTAGAATGTACTCTCCTACATTCTTGCTGATGCTGGGCGTGAGGTAATTTGGAACTGGAAGTGTAATTGTAATCAGAGCAGTGGTGGAGGAGGAAGCGGGTATTGTTTTGCAGTAACTGTCTAGTAAGCATGATGGTGGTAGGAGATGGTTTTGTGGTAGGCAGCCTAGGAGGACCATTGTAACCTCTTGTGATTGTTATTTGCAGAAAATTCAACTACATTTTCCCATTTACACTATTGTTTTTTCTGGTGTGGAATATTAAGAAGATTGCTGTGCTTGCTTAACTCTATCTATATACTAAAAATAAAAATAAATTAAGCGGTGAAGCAGCTCGAAACAGGTAATAATAACTAGCCAAAACGGAAAGACCAGTAGCTGGTTGGGCCTGAATGGTTGTGTGGGCCTGGGCCCAGGAGGCAACACCGTCACCAACAACCAGTCAAACAAGAAGGACGGATGCGGGATCTATCTGACATCTTCTGAAGTTCTGATCCCTTTCCTTCCCTTTCGCGGGGAGGAGGAGTAGGGCACGAGGGGAATTTGTTGGTGGAGGGGAAGCCTGGAGGACAGCCATGGATCCGCCCAACCCTAACCCCAACCCCAGCCCCAACCCCACCGATGATGCCCCGTCGCCCCCAGCCGAATCCGCAGCCAGGCTCGCCGCCCTTTCCCTTCGCGGCACCAGGGACCTCCCCCCGGACTTCCACACCGCCGAGATCCACGACCTCGACGACGACGACGACGACGACGACGAGGGCTACCTCACCGCCGCGTCCAGAGGCGGGAGCAGCACCTCCGCGTGGAAGGAGGCGCCCGAGGGCCTCCACGACGATGACAAGGATGGGGAAGACGTCTCCCAGCCCAGCCCCAGCAGCAGCGGATACGCTGGCGAGCGCGGAAGCAGCCTCGATGACGACCCCGACCCCGACGCCGACCCCGAACCCGCCCAGGATTGGCCGCGCGACAAGAAGCATCTCCACGAGGTGAGCTCATTACATTACACACCTTCGTCGACCCCCATCACTCGGACTTCGCCCCAAGTGGCAGTGGGTCACCAAGCCTGCCGCTCTCATGTTTCAGGACGATGCTTCATCTTCCTGGAGGAAGAGGAAAAAGCATTTCTTCATCCTGAGCAATTCTGGCAAGCCAATATATTCCAGGTATGGAGGAACAGGAATTAAGTCCTTACATACAGTGACGCTACATCTACTATGCACATTTCCCCAACCAACCGAAACCATGACAACACACTGTTGCAACTTTCAGGTATGGTGATGAGCACAAGCTAGCCGGATTTTCTGCTACATTGCAAGCAATCATTTCCTTTGTTGAGAACAGGTATATATATGGCCTTGTCCTTGCGTTTGTTATAGCAATGGCCTTACTTTTCTGGCATTCTTTAACTCTGGTCTCACCTTATTTCCTCTCATTCCAGTGGTGACCATATCAAATTTGTGAGAGCTGGCAAACATCAGGTCCGCTTGCCTTCCTTGTCACATAGTGTCATATTATATCTTACTTTAGATTGTAAGACATGCTTTATTCCTTCATTCAAGACGAATAATTAATGCTACATGCTACTAAGTTCTTTAACGCTGTCTTTCAGATAGTTTTCCTTGTGAAGGGGCCAGTATATTTAGTTTGTATAAGCTGCACGGAAGAGTCATATGAAGGATTGAGGGGGCAACTAGAGCTCATGTATGGTCAGGTGCTTCCGCTGCTGCATTCATCTCTTGATACTATTATTTCTTTACATGGACTTTTAGCCTGGCTAAATGTATGCAGATATGCCTTCTCCATCCTTATACTGATGTCTCTGAAAACATGACTTTGCAGTTGTTGCTTATTTTGACAAAGTCAGTCAATAGGTGCTTTGAGAAGAATCCCAGATTTGATATGGCAACATTGCTTGGTGGCACGGATGCTGTTTTCCTATCTCTTATACATGCATTCAGCTGGTCAGTCAATTTTTTCCTTTGCTTGGGACTCATTTTATTTTTATGCCACATAAGTGTTTGGACATTTAGCACTCACTGGGAGTCTCATCGAAACAACTGTACAGGAACCCTGCGACTTTTCTTCATGCCTACACATGCCTTCCTCTTGCTCAATCAACAAGGCAGGCAGCTAGTGCAGTTTTGCAGGACGTTGCTGATTCAGGGGTTCTATTTGCGTTATTGATGTGTGAGCACAAGGTTCGCCCAACTTGATGACAGCTTGCACTATGATAATGATTATATAAGGCTTGAAAACCACAAATTAAGTGTTGAAGTTAATTCTTTATCAAATCCTGACACGTCGTTGATATGTAGTGTAAAGCAAGTTTCCATAATAGTTATTTATCAACACACTTTATGTTCCACTTGCACCTTCAACAGATTCATACATAGGTGCGTGTGTTTCTATTTTGTACTGTGAATCTGTGTTTCTAGTTATCTGTGAACACACTTTAGGTTCCACACGCACCTTCTAGAGGTGCATACATCTGTGCACTTATTTTCTTCCTGTTATCCATGTTGATTTGTCCTTTAGATGTATCTATGCTAAAATTCTGTGAATTTCTGTGTAAGGCTTGCTACTTGTGTAGAAATACAACGGTATATGATATCTCTAGTCTCTCGACTCAAATTAATAACTTGTGCAAGGTGAATGGATAAGGATTATGCTCTTGCTCTTACTACCACTGCGTACTATCTTTAGGGATGTTTCCTTTTTTCGTTTCCCTAGTTCTGTTCTTTTTAATGTTTCTTATATATCATTCTCGATTATTTTCAGGTTATTAGTCTTGTTGGAGCACAAAAGGCAACTTTGCATCCTGATGATATTTTTTTACTTGCGAATTTCATTCTGTCCTCTGAATCTTTTAGGTAATCATGACATACTCTGAAATGAAGGATATTAACCTTGAACAGTGTTCTTACAGTTTGTCTTTTTATGCAGAACTTCAGAGTCTTTTGTACCCATATGTTTGCCAAGATACAATCCTATGGCCTACTTGCATGCTTATGTTCATTTTTTTGACGTGAGTGAAATTTATACATGTGAATAACTGTATTCATTTACCATTCTTATCAGCAAGAGATACATTGCTAACAAGAATAGGTACATTAGGATAGCGTTTGGATACAGGGATATAGGGAGTAGGATAGGGAAACGGAAATGGATGAACGGCTAGGATTAAATGAGGCGTAAAGAATGGATGGCTAGGATACAATATTACCCTTTGGAGGGTGGGATATCCCTATCCCCATCCCTATCCCAATCTCCATCCAAACACCACCTAGAGGTTTATGTTTTTCTTTAATAAAATGCGGACAACTGTGGTTTGTCCAAAGGAGACCTCCAGAGGCACCAGTGCATTGTGGAGCCCTAAGCCAAGCTAATTATATGAGGAGAGGTAGAGGAAGACCGAAATTGACATGGGGGGAGTCAATAAAAAGAGATTTAAAAGCTTGGGATATACCTAGAGATCTATGTTTGAATAGGAGTGCTTAGAAAGCAGCTATTGAAGTGCCTGAACCGTGACTTGGGACTCTTGGTGGGTTTCAACTCTAGCCTACCCCAACTTGCTTGGGACTGAAAGGCTATGTTGTTGTTGTAGACTACTTGGGTGTCATCTCGAGCTTGTGTAGAGATATTTTGCATTTCTTAGTCCCATGCTACCACGACCTTTATTGTTCTTGCTGAACTCTAGCTTAGAAATTGTCAATACTGGATGCTGACTGATGACAAATTAGGGGAGTTTCATCAATACCTCCACTTTAGGGGGACTCTTCATCTATACCACCACCAACAAGCTAGCCAATGACACGTGGGGTCTGGTTCTACATGTGCGTGTTTTTACTGGAGTTCGAGAGAAATTGAGTGCAGTATTGGCAGTGAGATGAGACTTTGAAAATAAAAGAATACAGGGACTAAGGTAGATAACTAAATCAATTTGTTGAGGATCTGAACAAGCAGTAGACCACAGATAAGAGCACATTGAGACGTTTCTCCCCCTGTTTTAGTGCACATGATATTGGACAAAAATGTAGGAGTAACAAGGAATTTGACCTCAGCCATTCGTATGCACAATCTCTCTTTTCTTAACTGGTATAGAGGCTAAAAGCATTGCAGCTTAAATGTGGGTCTCTTCTTTACAGGAACATACATATGTCACTTTGCTTACTACACGATCAGATGCCTTTTATGATCTCAAAGATTCCAGGTGAGCTAGCCAATAAATGACTACATGATTTGGATTTCACGAGGTGTCTGAATGTGTGCCACCAAAAATTGAACTGACATAACCTATACTTTTGTGAACAATGTCTAGGGCCCACATTCAAAATGTTCTCTTGAAGTCAAATGTCCTCATTGAAGTCCAAAGATCTTTACATGAGAATGCATTGCGTGTTGAGGATCTCCCAACCGACCAGTCTTCTCAATCTGCATCACACCCTCCAGAGTCCTCTCGAGACATGAGTTCACAATCTCTGTCTTCTGAAATGGCAATTGGAGGACCAGGTGGACTCTGGCATTTTATATATAAAAGCGTTTACCTTGACCAGTTTGTGTCATCAGAATTTCCCTCACCCATAAGTAATAAAAAGCAGCAGAAGAGGTATGGATATTGACGCTACTACACATTCACTTCTATAATAGTGATTCTTCTTTGTATGACAACCTCATATGTGCAGATTGTACAAAGCTTACCAAAAATTGTATGTATCCATGCATGATAAAGCAACTGGTCCACACAAAACTCAATTCCGAAGAGATGAGGATTATGGTAAGTCGATTGTAACACCCCCAAAATGCTCAAGTCCCACTATTTGGAAGTACTAGCAACAAAATACTTCTGTACTATAGAAAATTGTGATTCATTTTTAGTAAATTTGGATGCTCAGTTATTCTAGAAAGCATACACATTGCATTAGCTGCTCTTTCAAAACCACCGGGATTCTGGTATATACTCATCAAGGCCAGGTAAACTATGACAATACTCCATACTGTCGTAGTGACTTAACTGGACAAAACTGATTGAACTGTACAGTACACATGTGGTTATGTAACGTCACAGGAGTACTGGGTGCATCTATTAGTGTCAGTATCTGCATATAGAGGGAGGAGAAGGGGGGTGGAGACTGATGTATGGAGTAGTTTTTTTTTTTTTTGATAACTTATGTATTGGGTGGTTGAGTAGTTGCAGAAGTTTGCAGATACATTCCAGTTTTCAGGGTGCTGTTCATTTGTGTGCTGGAGCTAGTTATCTCAGATAATGGTAAAGAATGGCCCACTAGAATCGCATGGTTCCTCCTGTTTAGATATCTAATGCTTGGTAATATGACGCAGCAGAGAAATAATTTATTATGAAGCATCCTGTGCAGTACATTCCCTGTCAAGATGATGTCAAATTAGCTTGCTCTATTGAGTTTCATAATCATCTGGGTACTTAATGTGACAAATTGTTGATTTACCTTTTCCGTTTTCTTGCAGTTCTATTTTGCTGGATAACCCAGGATTTTGAACTATATGCAGCTTTTAATCCACTGGCTGATAAGGTCAGTGCATGTACATTCAGTTGTTGATGCTGAGGGTGCTTTTTTTATATATATTTATTGGATCATAGCACAAGACAGCTGCTGTCATCTTTGTGTAGGGCTAAGGGCGAATGGGTTAATGCAGTTGTCATGATTGTATAGGGATAATCATCTAACTTAGATTATACTTGTTTGCAGACTCAAGCAATCAAGATGTGCAATAGAGTATGCCAATGGGTGAGGGATTTAGAAAATGAGATATTCGTGTATGGAGAGAGCGCCCTTTCCTGGTGATATATTGTCCTGTGTGTAAGTTGATATGTCTATGTTGCATTTTTTTATTGAAAGTTTTTGATGGTTGATGTACTTGCACCGACACAGGCAGTACCATCGTTGTTGGGGAGGTATATGAGGGGCTGGGTTTGTCACACTGACATTTTCTCAGGAGAGGTGCTCCTTTTGGTTTTTGATCTGAATGCTGAATTGGAGCCTTTTCTTATTATTATTATATGTACGGCGCCATTTCCTATCTGTTTGTAGCAGGCCGTTAAGTTGTATCAATTTGGGAAGGATCTGTTCTGCGTGTATTAAGGGAGAGGTTAGGTTAGGAGTTGCAAGTAAAGCAGTCCTAGCTAACCTCTGATTGTGAAGTGAAGAAGTTGCATGGGTGGTTGAAGGGGTGTAGCCGAGGCATCTGCCCGCGTAAGCGTAACTTCTATGTACCCCATGTTGCTGGTTTGTTTATAGAGGGGGAGCATTTGCACGTTGATGCAAGACTGCTTGGTTGACTTTGTTGAGCTGCGTCCTATATTCTGGACGAGGGAACCGGGCTGAGTTGATTCAATCAATGATCTAAAGAAGGGTGGCCTTTTATTTACAGACGCTATGATCTTGTGGTTGCATGGATGTAAGTGTGTCTGACGAGCCAACATGCAGCGCGTCTAACAGTCCTTGTTTGAGACTTGTGAGCAACCAAACTCCCAAGAGAAAGTGTTCTCTCGCTTGAGTTTACTCAAGTTAAAAGCTTGGATGTCTCAACAAAACTTACAATGGCGAATGCGAATTTTTAACGAAAGCTCGGAGAGACGAGACGATAGCTCCAGGCCTCCAGTCGCGTCGCTGAATGCAAGACGACGACCCTTGCAGCCGGTGGTGAGGTGGACGGAGGAGAAAGACAAACTAATCCACGTCCGTGGTCGGCGCCCCCACCAGCCGCTAGGAGCTCCCCAACCAATTGTTCCTCCACGTGGCTCATCTGCATTGGCCGGGAGGCCCGCCCTACCATATTTTCTGTGCTGGTATAATGTTTGTTCTGTACCTCGGTAGTCCTAGTGCTATTGGTGGTGTAGGGCCTACTAAAATATATGCCATGCCACACAAGCACAAAGCTGTCATCCTTGTCTACTCCACACATCCTACTCCGTCTCCGTCTCTCTAGACAGCAACAATAGGTTAGTGCCGCCACAACGTATGGGGGGCGTTTGGTTCATTGGTTGGCTATCACAATTTGCCGGGCGCCTTTGTTCGTCGTCGAACTTGCGGCATGCCGTGGCCTAGTCGCCACATGCTGTTGAGTACGTCTCCTATATAATCATGTGTTTTATATGGTTTCAATATATGATTTTTTTACACCATGGGATTAAGATCTAACAGCTTTTCCACCTCTTCTTCTACCTCTGGCCTCCAGCCTTCTTCTACCTCCAGACAATCATAAATCATAAGATCACAGATCACAAGAAATAATTTTTTCTATGAAAAGACAAATCACATATCGCAGAGGAGGAGGAGGAGGAGAGGCCTACCTGGAGCCGGATCCACTGTCGCCGCCGCCGCCGCCGCCACCGCCACTGCCATGGCCGGCGTGGGCCCTCCGGCGAGCACGGGCGGGTCGCCCACTCGCTTGATCGGGGAGCAAGCAGCTGCGCCCGTCGTCGCTTGGCCATTTGGGAGGCTCATGAGGCCTACAGCAAAAGAGGCAGCAGCAGGGAAGCAGCGTGAGCAACAGGCCGGGGAGGCACGGGCGTGGTGCCTCCATGCACGCCGGTTATGACATGTGGGCCCTAGACGTCGTAGAAAAAAAAAATCTATGTGTTTTTTTTTTGCTAAAACACATATATGTTGTATAGCATTTATGCTGTTTTTTATGGAAGCGGTCGTGTCGTCATGCATGGGCTAATTATCCGGCTCTCTCCAGCAGCTTCCATGGCATTCCCCGGCCAGCCTCCAATCCCAGCCGGCCGGTTCCTGGCCTATATATAGCAGCAGCAGCCTGACCTGACCTGACCGGATCCGGAGGCTCCATCATCAAGCAGCCAGCCAGCCAGCTAGGCTCCTCTCCTCTCCTCTCCTCGATCCAAAGTTGAAGACAACAAGACAGAGAGAATGCCGGTGAGCAGGATCGCCGTGGGCGCTCCGGGCGAGCTGTCCCACCCCGACACCGCCAAGGCCGCCGTCGCCGAGTTCATCTCCATGCTCATCTTCGTCTTCGCCGGCTCAGGATCCGGGATGGCCTTCAGTGAGTGTTACTTGCTGTTGCTGGTGATTTATTTTATTAATTAATTAACTAATGGTAATGATGACTGAGTGAGTAACTAATAATAATTAACCAATGCAACAATCAATCAGGTAAGCTCACGGACGGCGGCGCCACGACTCCTTCCGGCCTGATCGCCGCGTCTCTGGCTCACGCCCTGGCCCTGTTCGTGGCCGTGTCCGTGGGTGCCAACATCTCCGGCGGGCACGTGAACCCGGCCGTGACCTTCGGCGCCTTCGTGGGCGGCAACATCAGCCTCCTCAAGGCCGTGGTGTACTGGGTGGCCCAGCTCCTGGGCTCCGTCGTGGCCTGCCTCCTCCTCAAGATCGCAACGGGCGGCGCGGCCGTGGGCGCCTTCTCGCTGTCGGCGGGCGTGGGCGCCTGGAACGCCGTGGTGTTCGAGATCGTGATGACCTTCGGGCTGGTGTACACGGTGTACGCGACGGCGGTGGACCCCAAGAAGGGCGACCTCGGCGTCATCGCGCCCATCGCCATCGGCTTCATCGTGGGCGCCAACATCCTGGCGGGGGGCGCCTTCGACGGCGCCTCCATGAACCCGGCCGTGTCCTTCGGCCCGGCCGTCGTCAGCGGCGTCTGGGAGAACCACTGGGTGTACTGGCTCGGCCCATTCGTGGGCGCGGCCATCGCGGCGCTCGTCTACGACATCATCTTCATCGGACAGCGCCCGCATCACGAGCAGCTGCCCACCGCAGACTACTGAATACTTGGATGCAGTGCAGCAACCGGCCGGGCCGGCCGTGGATTGATTTCCTCCTCCTTTCACTTTAAGTTCAGTTCCAGTTCCAGGTCGATCATCATATCATCATGGGTTGTCCAGTCCAGACCAGTCCAGTCCAACGAACGAATAAGATGGATCGGAGCTAGGCTAGCTGCCGCTTCTTCTCCATCTTCCACATCCATATATGTCGCCGTCCTTTATGTTTTGCTTTGTTATTGTCCATACAAATTAAATAGCATGCACTACTGTTTATTATTACTCCTGCTACTCCTAACAAGTTAATTATTATTACTGCTGTCCAAATATATATAATCTCTTCTTTAATTCGATCGGAGCGCCTCTAAAAATTCACCTGTTGTGGAACATGCATGAGTCTAGGCTAGAACTAGATGGGATGATGATGTCGAGCTGTTGCTCATTCGACCGTTAATACCAGATGGAAATGACTGCTTCTCGATCCATTCCTGTCGAAGTCGAACCAACATATGCGCAGTTCAGTGGTGGAGGGGCTACTGCTAGATGTCTTTCTTCTTTCACGAACGCTACCTCAGCGTGTGCACGTCACTATCGGTAAAACGACGGGGAAGAGAATATATAAATGTAAGAGATTAATTCAATTCCCACTAATGTTTAATTTCCTTTTGCTTTCCAATGTTTAATTAGTTCAGGTCACTTAAGTTGTTTCATCTTTCTTTGTCATCTTTATTTAGTTGCTATGGCCTATGGGTTAGTGCAAGTAGCTTATTATGGTACCACACATGTCACCAGATGCGGACGCATGCAAGGTTCACAAGTCTACAAGTTCAGATGAAGTAATTGGTTTCTGATGTATATGATATGATGTGACAAAATCATCTTGTTTGCACGTATAGTTATCCACCTCTCCTTTATGTCACGTGACTGATTTTTTGTTGCAACACACAATTTTCTCATTGTTTGGCTATACAATAAAATTATTCAGTGGTTCTTGTGAGTTGTCCTTTTAATTGTACTAGTTGTCTTGCTTTTAAAAAAAACAGGCATCTAAAATATAGCAACTCCTTTAGTTATCTGGTTACTTGTATTGCCACGATCACTTCAAATTTCTGGTATGGACTATAAAAATTGAAGTGATATGCTTGATCTTGGGTATTGATGATACGGTGATGGCGGCAATAACTACAGCATTAATCTATGTGTTTATTAACTTAGCATTACCATGTATATATTTATAAGGCCGTGTCTGTCGAGTATAGACTGCCTTTTATTTTAAAAGCCATTGTAGGCCCAATGGCCCCTAATGTTCTAGTTGCATAGCAAGATATCTTACCACTGTTTTCTTTTAAAATGAAGGAAAATTTTGAGCCCAGATGAGACCATAGATGGAGCAGACATGTCGGTGGTGTTACTTTTTTTAACAAGAAGAAGTTCTCCTGACCCCCTTACTTTTTTACCTCCTTTAACTAGAAAACCGGATGTTTGCGCTTCTTAAAATATTGAAACCGTTTGATTTACCTCCCTGAGTGTTTTTTAAAAGCGATTTTGGCTGACATGGCACCACGTGAGCCGTCCTATGTGGTGCCACGTCAATATATCATGAGGGAGGTAAATTGGACTTCAGCATAGTCCAGTGATGTCAATTAGACTTTATAAAAAAAATTATAGAAATATTTTTTTTCAAAAGATTATCCCTTTTTAAAAAAATAAAAATACATTTAAAATACTAAAATCTTATTTAATATTAGAAATTCATTGAAAATTGTTTTAACTTAAAAAAAATATGAAATCAGTTTCATATTTTTACTATAATTATTATCTATGTTTTTTTTAGAATTGGAAACCATACTATAGAACATGATTTTAGGAAACACATGAAGTCCGACACCCTGAGCCCATCCAAACTGCTTTCCTGCTTGGTCATGTGCTCTCGATTCATGTATAGGCCTATGACGGTGACGACGAACAAGGAAGCGGTCACGTCCATCCGGATGTTGCCAACCAAATCGCATACATCGTTTTAGAGTCTAAGAAGTTACATGACGACTAACGCTGATGGTCCAATGGTTAAGCTAGATATTGCTGCTGAGGAAACGTTTTTGCAGTATTCACATTGCGGTCTACAAGAATGTGTCTTGGTTTGCATCCTTCGTTTCATATTTTGACTAGTTTTAAAGTCTAGCAAATCATATAAAATTTAAATAATCCTTAGTAAGAAATAAAAAGGCGGAGCATGATTTTAGGAAACATATGAACCATGATTCATATTTTCTGAGTTAAAACAACCTTCTATGAATTTTCTAACGTTAAACCAGATTTTAGTATTTTTAAGTGTACATTTATTCTATAAAAATATTTGAATACTCTTTTGGAAAAATATTTTCTACAGTTTTTTTATAAAGTTTAATTGACCTCCCTGAGCTATCATGAAAGTAGGTTTTAGAAATTATGAGGAAAAAATCGGTTTTTAGTCCTCATAATGAAACTGCCTCAGGGAGGTCAATTAAACTTTTGGGCTGCTGCTTATAACCTTTTTTTTTCCTGCAGCTTTATGGTTCTGTCACCGCGACGGCCCGGCCCGGCCTGTTTAGGAGAAGTATAAGCAGCAGCCCAAAAGCCTGTGTTCCGTGAATGGCCCATGGGCGGTTCCTGGCCTCCACATCGTTCTGCTCATGTGCAGCAGCAGCCGCCCGCAATAAAGTGAAGAGAAGCCGAGGAGACCATTAGCCATGGCGGCGGTGGATCTGTCGAAGCTGGTGAAGGAGAAGCGCTTCTGGGTGGCCTCCTTCCTCGTCGTATGGGCAGCAGCGCTGCAGGTAGGTGCAGAGCAGGGTCGAGGCTTTCCTCATGCTTGTCATCGACTGGATCCGGAGGCTTCTATTCGCCTCCGGCTCCCATTTCGAATCCAAATGAATTCCTTCCTTGCTGTATCAGGGCCACATGATGTGGATGCAGCGCCAGGACGCCTTCAAGCACAAGTTCGGCCTTGACGAAGCAGACGGATCCGACGCCGCGGATTCCTCCTCTTCCTCTACCTCTTCTTAGTAGGTCCATCCCCTTGTTGTTTTCTGATCCCGTGCATCAGATGGGACGGTTAATCATTACCGCCTGCTTGTAATGTAATGTACCCTTAGTTGGGTAGTTCAGTTCAGCAAGTAACAGCATCCTATACAGCACCCCATCAGTGAGCTTCCGCTCTACTGTATCTATTCCTCAAATCAAATCATGCCAATTTTGTTTTATTTGTTTTTTTCTTCTTCAATCCTTTTCCTTCTTCATCAATACTAACTCGTAATTTCAGCTCATATATCTATTACTAGTGTGTAATTGTACAACAACATTTGGTAGGCACCAATAGCTTCTCCTTTGGATTCTGAGAATTCATTCCAAAACCATTATGAGTTGCAATCATGTACCTTTTCAATTGGATGGAACAACGTAGTACTCCAATTAATCGAAGCACCAATGCAAAAAAGATTCGTCTGTGTGTTGTTTCCCAAGTCGGTGTATGCATGCTAGTTGTCAAATCGAATCGAACTTCGGTAGCATGCATGAGTCAAGATGCACTTGCTAGCCTGGCTGTGTACAAGTAGCAATCGAATGCACCGAGGTTCTTACATGTCTGAGTTTTGAGTGTTGGCAGATGCCATTGTCAGTAGTACTGAAGGAGGCCTGCAACAACCAGTTGCTTCCTTGTTTCTTCTGGCAAAGGCCATTGGTCTCATGCCTATGGCTGATCAGGTCAGTCACCTTCTATCGTCTCAGGCAGTTTGTTGGGAACAAATGAGACATCCTAATAGAGCTAATACTGCTTCCGTCAGGGAGGCAGATGACAAGACAATTGCAGTGTGTGTACAAGCATACAATGGTATCAACGACCTCCCTCTCTCCCCATCTGAAACCAGGCGTTTCTTTGAGGACTTTCATTTCTGTTCCCATATATTTTAGTCCAGAATAATTTCTGCTACCGTATCATTTGGGTCTGGGATAATAAACTCTGCTAGCTTATCATTACCTCTCCTTAAGTCTTTAGCATTCTATGAGCCATAACCCACATGTATTTGAGTTGTTCTTCGTATAGATGGATGCCTAGTAACTATAGTGCTTACAACAGCTGCTGATTTCTGAGTTAAAGCCCACCTCTTCGATTACATGACTTGTTGAACTGGGGAAATCAGACAAGAGGAATGAGAACAAGGGTGGTGGCTGTAAATGACTTTCTCCCTGCTAGTGCTGCTTATGTAACCATAAACCATTCCATGTGAGTTTTGGTTCTTGATTACAAGATGTGAACGCAACTAATTGATCTTCATGGAGCTCATGTGGTACCATCTTGCTTTACGGGATCTCTATGCTAGGTTGCTGATTCATCATCTGTGGCTGGAGCCTTGTCACTAGCAGGATGATGTAATGTGGAGATACTCAGAAACTGCAGTTGTTTTATTTCCCTTGACGTACATACATCCAGTACTCTAGCACTGAGGTACAGATAATGGCATTCATTTTTCAGCACCCGTTCGTAATACGATTGGTTTGGTTGAGCAAAACAAAAGATGACCAAGTGCACTATCAACTTGTATGCTGATATATTTTCCAAAAATAAGTATGGGCATTATGGTGCTTCCGTTCGTAACACCCCAATTGAAGTTTTGCAGTGCCATTTTCACATTGATGAACTATTGACTCGGAAGAGTCAAGCTAGTAATCATCGCCCGTGGGTTTTGTTTGTGTCCCGGCCACACCTGATCTTGGTCACCGAATAATGTCTGCCTTCTGATTTGCTCAATTTCCGCAAGCAATGGCCTCCTGCAAATTAAGAGCAGCTTGAAGAGCCAAGGCGAGAATTTGATGGCCTCCTGCAAATTAAGAGCATCAGCAAGCTTAACACCAAGGCGGACTGGAGAGCATGCGCGTTTCATTTCACGGCTTCAGCCTCCGCTGGGTTCAAGCAACGGGGAGCTGCAACCTGCAAAGATGAAGCCGAGCAGAGACTATACGGGCCATGCTGCAGAATGGAAACAATGTGGGATTGAAGTCTGCCATGCGTATGAGGAAGCATCAGCCCTCAGCCCAACCCCAATGTTTGAAGCAAACCGGCCCTAGCAAAGCTTCACTCAAAAAAAAAAAGTGATTCATTTTCCAGTTTTCCATAACGCGAGCAGGCTTCATTGGCATTTTTGAATGATTCCGTGCATCCAGGAAGGCAGTGCCAAGCGCAAGCCTAAGAAGCCTCCAGGCAAATAAAGGTTTTAACTCTTGGTTGGATTGATTTGTCCACCCAAACAACCCCAAGAATTTGCAACACTTGCATGGGAATTTGCAACACTGGACACCTTGTACACACTTGACGGAGCAATGCCCATCAGCAGTAGGCTCCCAATTCCAACTGAGAGCAGACTACTTATATATGGGCATTGGCATTGGCAGTATGGTGGTTTCTGGCCAGTTTCTTCGCCAGTACTCACGGGTTGCTACCTTCGGTGTTGCAAATCATATGCCCATGCCAGTGAAAAGGAAAAAAAAAAAGCTCATCAGGTGTTGCTATTTTGTTTCCAACTCTCAGAAGTCAGGAACAGCTCGTGAGGTGGACAGTAAGGCTGGACTGAACAGCACAAACTGTATGGAATGATGCTCACTGGATCCTAAGACTGATAGTAATAGTAACGGATAAGCACATTACACATGTAAAATTCTAAGCATCAGTCATCCGTGGCAGCAGATCCCCCAGTACCGATTGCGTAGTGCACCCGAATGTTCCTTCCATCAAGCACCTGAAAAGATTATAGTGTGGAAATTTGTGTTGGTGATGGATACAGAGGCAGGTTGTACTATATGGTATATGAAAGAAGATAGTGAAGAACACTTGCCTGACCGTTCATCTTTTGCAATGCTGCGGCAGCATGGTTTTGTGAAGAAAACTTGACAAAACCAAATCCTTTTGACTTGCCGGTTGTGGGATGGCATATAACCTTCACTGCAGTGTGCATATATATTAATGAAAGAATCGTCATGAGAGAAGCATCGGCAAATGCAATTTCAGAAGGAAGAAGAAGAAAAAAAAAGAATATAGTAGGAGGTGGAAGCAGCTAGTAGGTATAATACAAAACATACCTGCAATAACATCACCATATTGAGAGAAAGCATCCTTGAGAGCTGTTTCGTTAGTGTCGTAAGAAAGACCTGCAAAAACAAAAACGGAAGGAAGGCGGCAGCAATGAGCTGAGCTAAATCATCCGTAATTCCAAGTATCGTCTATTGTAATTGAAAGCTAGCATGGGTCTCCCCCCATCCGGATCCGGACCCGGTTGAAGCAATCAGAAAGAGAGAGACCATAGCAGAGCAGGAAAGGATGGAACTAGCTACCATGGGGGTGGAGATTGATTTGATTGTTACCGTACCGCCGACGAACAAGTTGGAGCTGCTGCATGCGGAGGAAGTCGCGGTGGTCCGATTCCCATTAGGGAATGGAAGCGCGGCGTTGCCGTTGCGCAGGCAGCAGCAGCCTCCTCCTGCTCCTGCCCTCCAATTTAGGACTAGCTTTAGCTTTAATAGTGCCATGTATGTACATGTACTGCTACTAAACCCTAAGGCCTAAGCAAATTTATCCCCACCCGCACCCAAGATTGGATTGGGCTGGGCTTCTTGTTGGGATGGGCGAGATGGCCAGCAGCCTGCCGCGGCGCGTGCGGGTACCACTCCAAGCCCAAGCCCAAGCCTGCGGGTGATTGTGTTTTTTTTTTTTGGGGGGGGGGAATGCGGGTGATTGTGCTCTTGTCAGTTGTCAGTGAATGAGGTGAGGTCGTCGCCTGGCTCTTTAGGACTTGGTTGGAGTGGTACGGGATCCCGAGTGGTACTGCTTCCTCTTGCGTGCACTGCACAAAGCATTCGTTCGATTCCATTTGTCGTGTGGGAAAGGCGGATCCGAGATGGAGGAGAAGATCCTCCTCTCTCTCCTCCTCGGCAACGGCAACCCACCAGTCCACCACCACCACCGCTTCCACCGCCGCCGGACATGGATATGGCTCTTCCTACATGTGCCCGCCAAGACTCGCTGCTGGTTGGCTGTTGGCTCCAACCTCGCCTCGCCTGATTTAAAACAATAAAATAAAATAAAATTAAGATCGTCCTGTTCGCTTGTGTATATGACCGTGAGGAGTCGCCTCCGTCGTCGTCGGAGAAGAGGAAGAAGAAAGAGAGAGTAGTGTTGTGCTGTCGCATCAGCCGCCCGCCGAGCCTCAGATCCACCACCGGCACCGATGCCGGCCATCTCCACCCACCACCTTCAGCTGCGCCTCTGGTGGCGCCGTCTCGGCCGACGCGGCGCCGCATTCGCCCTCGCGCTCCTCGCCGCCGCCCTCGTGCTCACGCTCTCCCGCTACGCCGCGGGCCCTGCAGCCTCCCCGCCCGCGTCCCCGTCCTACGGGCATCGCCTCCCGGCCCTCGTCGACATCACCCTCGTCTACGGCGCCACCGACAAGGGCGCAGGTCAGTCACGCTAGCTCTCTCTTCTTTAGCTTCCCTCCCGCTCACTTCACTTGGGCCTTGCTATCCCCCCATCAAATCAAAATCCTGAACCATCAGCTTCGCTGCTAGTGTGCTTGGATGGTACGCCGCCTGCCTACCACTTCCTTCCGGGATTCGGGGACGGATCCCACAACTGGCTCCTCCACTTGGAGGGCGGAAGCTGGTGCCGCAGTTTCGAATCATGTGCTCGCCGTAAGAAAACAAATCTCGGTTCCTCTGCCCACATGGATACTCGTGCTGAATTCGTCGGCATCCTCAGTGATGATCAATCTCAGAATCCAGGTAATGAATGATGCGTCTCCAATGCTCTCCTCTCTCTCCACTTACTGGAGTAGTTAAAATACCAGTGCCTGCCTTCCATTCCAGTTCCAGTGTTTTCTGCTATCAGTCACTCTACTTCAACTCCACTCAACAGCACAGCACACACATTCTCTGAAAAATATATAGCCAAGTTTGCTTTCTAAGTAGTACTAACTTAGAATACTCAGCTTCTTCAAATACAATCAGCTATTCACGACTGCTTGCATCTAATCTAACAAATAATAATAATACTTCCCGCAGATTTTTACAACTGGAACAAAGTGAAAATAAGATACTGTGATGGTGCATCATTCTCTGGACATGTCCAAGATGAAGTCAAGAAGGTGCGCTTGCCCTTTATCCACTTTACTTCTCGTTCTCCCATTTAATTCTGTGTTTTCTTTTCTTCCCAGACATTCCGATTAATATTTCTGTGATCCTCCCCAGAATGGCACAGGTTTCTTCTTCAGAGGCCAGCGTATCTGGGAAGCAGTCATGGCCGAACTTCTGTCAAAGGGGCTAGCCAGAGCGAAACAGGTTTGCCTTTCGAATAAAATAGCAGCGTTTGTTGCAATACTAATCAGTCTTCATACATCAGTGCATTGATCTAGCATGTTTATGTATTCCACGGCCTGCCATGTGGCTTGAACACACGGCAAAAGTTCATTCCCAGCCCAAAACAATGAACACGACAAAGACTACACTATAGTTACAGTGATTTCCCTTTGTAGCTAGTCATGGGGGGTTTCCCTTTGTAGCTAGTTATCACCTTATGGGTCTCTACATCGCATCTTTTGGAGGCATAAAAAGATTGTTGCCTTGCAGTATCATCACAGAATTTCTAGTTTTAAAAAATATATGTGCATTTAAGACCTGGTCTTTCTCCTTCCTCATTTTAGACGACTATTACCATTCTAGCACCGCAACGTGCCTTTGAACAAAATGCAATATGAAGTATACTACCTCGTCATGGTGAACAGGATGCTTGGGGCCTAGGATGAATCAGCACCCACAGTGACATTTTACTCTTTCATTGGGCTACTTTGTATCTTCTCATAGGAGTCATCCAAAATTATTGTATGCCTTGTGACGAAGGGATTATCTACCACATTTTACTCTCTTATCCTGTTGTATTCACATTGACTTGTCAACTAATTGTAGAGGCCGGAATTATTCCTTTTTCTAAAAAACCTATGCCCTAACAAGTTAGCGAAGCAAATTGCTAGACAAATAGATTGTTATTATGTCATTGGTGGCCAGTCATGTGGGCAATTTACTTGACTGTGAATTGGACCATTTTGATAACATTGCAATGCTAATATATTCCCTCCTTGTAGGCTTTTCTGACTGGATGCTCGGCTGGTGGCCTTTCTACATACATTCACTGTGATGATTTCCGGGCACTTCTACCGAACACGCCTACTGTCAAGTGCCTCACGGATGGTGGATTCTTTCTTGATGTGTATGCTAAGTATTTTTTAGTGTTTCTGCTCCATGCATAATTTCACTTGCTCTGTGCCACTAGAGATTGACTTGTTTTCTGGATACTTTGTTGATAAACAAGTAGAATTATGGTATAAGTTAATTGTAAATTTCTAATTGATACAAAATAAGTTTTAGTACTTTTTTCTTTTTTGCTGACGCCTGCGGTTTTTGTACTTCTTATGTTCAAATTAGCTCTTTGTCACAACTATTACCTTTTTACTTGAGGATGCATAAAGCAAGTTCTATGAACAGAAAAATTCCTGCCCTTGTTGAATTTGGAATGATCTATCAACATTTGTGTATTTTCTGCCACCATTTTTGCCTAATTAATATTAAAATTTTCTGACACTATCTGATCTAAAATATTGTTATTTTGATTGGTTTTTAGACTTGGTTGAGAATTGATATATGGCTCAAGTTTGTTATTGCCCGAGTACAAGCCTGTTCTTTCGTTTGGTCAACTCAACTGAAACTGAGCTCACATATTTCTATAAAGAAGAGCCAAGTGTATTTTTAGCTTGCTTGAACTTGACTTGGTTGCAGCCCTAGCTCTCTGTTGCTACAAATCTTTAGCTTTCTTTATTAATTAGTACAAATGGATGTGTAATGCCTTCTTCATACATTTCTTCTTCTTAATGCAATGATACGCAGCTCTCCTGCGTATTCGGGAAAAAGAAGAATTTCACAGTGATTTTGTGTTGTCTGCAAGTTATCATTGGTTCTACCTTCTTATGCAGAGAAGACATTTCTGGAAGAAGATATATGCGGGGCTTCTATAATGATGTTGCTCGGCTGCAGGTCTCTCTCTCTCTCTCTCTCTCTCAACCCCAACCCAACCAAATTCAATAAGTGACATTTTATATGGTATTATTATCTTGCAGGATGTGCGTAAAAGGTTCCCTCATTGCAGCTCAGATATGGAACCGGGGCAGGTTGTCCCCTGATTTGCTTAAGTTATCATTTCCTTTCTTTAAAGTAATCACTCTCTTCACTATTCAAGCTGTTGTATGCTAATTAGTTCCTCCTACTTGCTGCCAGTGCTTCTTCCCACAAGAAGTTGCGAAAAGCATCACCACACCAATGTTTATACTCAATCCAGCATATGATGTTTGGCAGGTGCCATTATACGTATCCATTTTAACAGTCCATTAGTGCATAAAAATCAATATGACTCTTACTGTAAACTTTTCGATCTTCCTTTGCAGGTAGAGCATGTGTTGTCTCCAGAAGGTTCTGACCCTCAAAATCTATGGCAAAATTGCAGGACAGACATTACCAAGTGTAGCTCAAAACAGCTTGACGTTCTTCAAGGTTGTAATGGAATCTTATGTGGCTCTTCTGTTTACTTGTCTCACTTAAGCCTCCATCTTGCAACTCACTATACTGAGGATAAGAAATTTTCAGGTTTTAGGAAAGCGCTGCTTGATGCTATAAATGAATTCAAGAAGAGAAGAAACTGGGGTATGTTCATTGACTCCTGTTTTATACACTGTCAGTCAATGAATGCTTTGGCTTGGCATTCACCATCAGCTGCTAGAATCAACAACAAGGTAAACACATATCTACGTTATATATGTCACAAATGTAGATGGGCATGGATTTAACTGGGGTTTTACATTTTACTTACTGTGATAAACATCACCATTGTACTTTTGTGCCTGTCACCAATACATACACATGCTATAGATGATGGGTTGGTGGTTTGTCAGTCTTTTTGTGATTAATATAGTATCTGAATCTGAATTGTGATGCAGACGGCTGCCGAAGCTGTGGGAGATTGGTTCTTTGATCGGAGGGAGGTGAAGGAAATAGATTGTGAATATCCCTGCAACCCGACATGCTACAACGTGGTTCTTGATCAGCCCTACAAGGAAGACTAACTGACTTGCAGTGTTGTGGTGATTTTATTCGTAATTGACTCTCCATGAGTTGATATTTGTTGAGCTGAATGCGATCATTAGTTGAGTTCTGATTGAGACTTGTACTTGAGACCTATTAAAATAAGAGAACAATACTTACAGAGAGAATTCCATACAATGGGCGTTGATATGACATATGTTATGCTGAACCCGAGAGTGACACCCCATCCTTGTCCTTGAAACAGGGCAGGCCATGTTTTCTTTGCAGAGGCGTGCATCCAGAGATAGGTAAGGCTGACAAGGTAAACAAGTTGACCAACGCTACAGCATGTTGTGTATTCACGTCATCTGTATTTTTTGTTCTTGTTCAGGTTGGTTGGGTTGGGGATG